TATCTATCTATCTATCTATCTATCTATCTATCTATCATCTCTCTCTCATCTATCTGTCTGTCTGTGTCTATCATCTTTCTCACTCTTATCTATCATTTCTTTCTCTCATATCTCATCTATCTATCATCTATCTATCTATCTATCTATCTATCTATCTATCTATCTATCTATCTATCTATCATTTATCTGTCTGTCTGTGTCTACCATCTTTCTCACTCTTATTTATCTATCATTTCTTTCTCTCATATCCTGTCTATCTATCTATCTATCTATCTATCTATCTATCTATCTATCTATCTATCTATCTATCATCGCCTCATGGAAAGAGCAGATTTAGGTCACATTCTACCCAGTAACTTTTACTGGATATATCCATTGTTTTTATTTATATGTACAGTTGGCTTTCCTTATCCATGGATTTGTTATGTACAGATTCAAGCACCCACAGCTTGAAAATATTCAAAAATAATATAAATTCCAAAAGGCGTACCTTGATTTTGCCATGTTATATAAGGAGACACCATTTCCCTATGCCACTGTATTTAATGGGATTTGAGCATCCACCGATTTTGTTATCCACGGGAGGTCCTGGAACCAAACCCCAAAGGATGCCAAGGGCCCACTATATATAATTGGGGATACATCTATACTGCAGAAATAATGACACCGCTTTAACTGGCATGGCTCCATTCTACAGATTCTTGGGATCTGTAGTTATGGCGAGGCATCATTTTCAGATTATAAGCCCGAGGGCAGGGAAATGTTTAATTAGCCATTTGTAAGCCACTCTGAGAGCCTTTGGGGCTGAAGAGCGGGGTATAAATACTCCAAATAAATAAATAATAAATAATGGAGAAGCACCAGCATGCTTTGGCAGAGGAGGCTAAAGATCCTGCAAAACGATAAAGCCCAGGATTCCATAGGATTGAGCTCCAGCACTGAAAGTGGTGCCAAACTGCATTATTTCTGCAGTGTAGATGCACCCCCAGACTAATTTTTAAAACAAGATTTTTTTTTTTTTTTTAAATTGTGGCATCCAGAACTAGACACAAGATTCAAGGTGAGGGATATAATATATTGAGGGCTATTAATACATGCTTGGAGCTTCAAAGTCCCTTTCCTCCCAAGGCGGCTGCCATTCGGAGTCTGCATTAATGCAACAGGCAACTGTTTTAAGCAGTTGAGGAAAAGAAGGAGAAGCAACCAGGGGCTCTTGACTCTCATTCTGCACCGAGAAAGCAATTTCAGGCCAAGTTACGCAGCAAACCGAAAATTGGCTGCTGGAGGGGGAGAAAAGCCCATCGATTCAATTAAGAAGATTGGCAAGCTCAGCCTGCAGGGCCCTGCCAAAGTCAATCACCAAGCCATGTCAGCATGAAGAGAGGAAGAGGAGAGACGTAGTTGTCCTGGAGGGGGACAAGAGAAGGTCCAGGACTTGGACGGTTCAGGGCCGGAGAAAGCATTGAAAGGACACGGCCATTGTGGTACGGCGGTGGGAGAGGTCTTCTTTTGCATGTTTCTCCCATTTGCAGATGACACCAAATTAGGAGGAGGAGTAGTAGCTAATACCCCAGAGGACAGGATCACAATTCAAGAAGACCTCAATAGATTAGAAAGCTAACAAAATGAATTTCAACATGGAGAAATGTAAGGGGCAAAAAAAAAAAAAAAAAAAAAAAAAAAAAAAAAAAAAAAAATGAAATTCATAGATATAGGATGAGGAACTCCTGGCTTGACAAGATGATGCGTGAAAGGGATCTAGGAGTCCTAGATCAATTTTTGAGCAAGTTGGGGCAGTGGGGAGGGAAACCCAGCTTGGGTGTTTGGGACCGCTCTCTTTTTGTGCCTCTTTCAGAATTTGCTACTCACCATTTGGAGTGAAATGAATTAAGGGTGCCAAAGGGATGGAGGCTGACTTTAAGCTCCATTGGCTGTTAAATGATGCCAATGATGCTCTTGGAAGCACACTGGAACCCTCTTTCCACCGTCTGGATGTGCATTTTTGCAATCCACCAACAGGATTGTATTGCACATTTATAACATAGCTACAGATTCAAACAATCATGAAACGTAGACCGTGATGGAGAATTTTAGCAAAAGATGATTCCGACCAATGCATATGAGTATTAATAGGAAAACCCTCTTATACAAAACTGGGCACGCATTTTGCAGATGGCTCCAGTTTTAGCTTTGGCCCTTGCAGGAAGAGAGCTGGCCCTTGCAGGAAGAGTCTGCCATACCTCTCTCTAGGCAAGGCTTGATGGGATCAGGAGAGGGCACAAAATAATTGCCGTCCTTTTCTCTGCGCTAATTCCTGAAGGCCTTTTCTCTGCGACTTTAGTTGCCCTTTGGAGGGCATCTTGATTTGGCTAATGAGATCCAGCCGGGGAGGAAAGGTCCCTTCCTTGCCCCGCACTGAGCGGCTAATTTTGCCACCGGCGACGATTTTGAAGCCCCTTTTGCAAATCTGATGGACACAAGCTCTCGGGCAAAGCCAACAAACAAGACTTCAGCTCTATTCCCAGCTGTCTTCCCATTCCAAGGATCATTCCTCCGTCGATAACCAAGACATCCTCTCCCTCTCCAAAAGATGGCTAACATTTGCAGAATTGCAGTCCTTGGTCCAGATAAAAATGGCAGCTCTCCGTTGTCTCAGAAACTTGGCTAAACTTTCTCCAAGGCAAAGCAAAGCGAGATATGGCACAGGTTGTGCGATTTGCAAGAAAGAAGCAGCCGGTGGGTCGCAGTATGTTTAACCCATCATCCTACCAATTTGTGCCTCTCACAGCCAGAGTTGCAGGCATTGATGCATCCTCTTCGAACCCCAGTTTCCTTGTATTAAAACAATAATCTTAGGAAAAAGAAGGGAAAACCCAGAGAGCCACCATGGTGCAGTGGGTTGAACATTGGATTAGGGTTTAGGGAGACTAGGGGTGTATCCACACTGCAAAAATAAAGCACTTTGGTACCACTTTTAACTGCTATGACTCTATGCTACAGAATCTTGGGATTAGTAGTTTGGTAAGGCACCGGCACTCTCTGACAGATTAGGCTGAATATCTTCTTCTTCTTGTATGCCTACAACTCGATTCCAATTTATGGCAACCCTATCATGGCTGAGTTTCATGGATGAGCAGGATTCAAAACCTGGTCTCCAGAGTCATACTCCAACACTCAAACCACTACATCATGGTGTATTGGCTTACCAAACTACAAATCCCAGGGTTCCACAGGATGGAGCCATGGCAGTTAAAGCGGTATGAAATGGCTTTATTTTTGCAGTGTGGAAGAGTCGTTAGGTTCCAATCCCTACTCAGTCATGGGAACCATCTGTGTGACCTTGGGCAAGTCACACACTCTCAGCCTCAGAGGAAAGCAATGGAAAATCTCCTCTGGACAAGAAAACCTTGTTATAGGGTCACAATGAATCAAGTTGATTTGGCAGCACATAACAGCAACAAGAACAAAAGGAAAACCTATTTCCCTGAATTGCTTTTTTTGACTATTTGTGGGTTGTTTGAAATCCCAGCTGTAGCCTGGCGTGGAACAATATAGACAACAGCTTGGAAAAGAATTCTTTTGGACTGCAACATTCAGCATCCCCTGGCCAGCATTGCCATATTCCAAAAACCATGGACCCCAAAAAGTAACTTTATCAAGCTCTGTCCCAGAAATGTGTTGACCAGATGGACCTCAAGGCTGATCTTGACTGGACATCCTCACACACACACCCCAATGCAAGTGTCATCTGTCCTGGCACAAAAATCAATCAATCAATAGGGGTTGTAGGAATGGATAATAAATGGAGTCCTCATTCCATATTCATGAGGGCTTGATTGATCATGCTAATTAGCCCCAGGCATTTGCCGCATCATGGCATGTGGAGAAAGGAATTAAACATTATGGCACAGCGCATGAGGATCTGGTCTGGCTTTGAACAGGGCTATATGGGAAGAACCCAGAGCCAGAAAGGCCAATAAAGGCAAAAGCATCCATTCTGCCAAGCCCAAGAGGGCCAGCTCACCAACAAACAGCTGGCCATGTGCTAAACTGGAAATATTGACAAGGAAGGCATGCTTCTTTATTGCTGCAGAGGGAAGGTTATCCCAGGGTGAAGGCTGAGCTTGCAAAGAATGACCTGTGTGCCAGATGAAGATCAGAGGCTGGCTATTAAATAAGAAGAGATCAGGGAAGTCATTTAAAAAAACAACAACACTCTGCTAAAATAGTCCAGAAATGGTTACCTGTGTTTGCGAGAGGAAGGAAAGAAGGAAGGAAGAAAGGGAGGGAGGGAGGGCAATCCATGGAGAATAATGACAGTGAAAAGCAGAGCCTTAATGAATTTACAGGTACATTCTTTCATGTGGTTAAAGTGAAAAATTTGGTAAGATGCAATGTTTTTAAACATCTGGTATAGGATGGACAGAGGCAACCACCCTACTAGGTGTTCACCCCCCTGAGGGGTCCCTTGTCGCAGACTGCACCCCCTTAGTGACACACCTGGGCAGAGGTGCCCTGTCTGGCTGAGTGGTCTTGGGCTAGAAGAAGCAACTGCCCCCTCTGAGGGGTCACCTGGTGCAGTCCACACCCCCTGCATCCCCTTAGGGATCCCCTGGGCAGAAGTGGCCAGGCTGGCCGAGGGGATGGCAAGGGGGTCTTGGGTGGGCACAGGCAACTACCTCATTAGGTGTTCACCCCCCCCCC